CTAACCCTGGGTCATCCCCAGGCTGGAGGAATCACTTAGAGGATGTGAGTTAGTTCTGGGTTGTGCTGACAGTAAAAATCAGCTCCAAGAAGGGGTAGGGGCAAGGGGTATGAGAATATGTGCCAACCCCTAAGTGGAGTCAGACACCAACCCAGTCCCCCAAGGCATCCCCTCAACTGGCAAGGACCAAATGCTGGATGAAATGCAGGCTCTCGGGGCTGTTCGTGCCAGAGCACAGCCACGCCTCCAATGCTAGCTTGGTAACCTGGCAGGCCTCCGAAGGTTGGTGCAGGAATGTGCCATCTGCCTGGCCCATTGCCCGAGTGTGTTCAGCACATATCTGAATGTCCTAGAGAAGCTTTATTCAGATCACCTCATGGGAGTGGGCTTGCACATCCTGGCCTATGCTTTAAAGTCTGGTTAGTCTCAGAATCCTGGGGTACCTTCTCCACCCTCACACTTGCTAGACTGTCATTTAACATCATCAAGGCCTCTCCCACCTTGGCATTTTCTTTCTAATCAATCTTACTGGACTGCAGTTTCAGACAGTTCCCCCACCTGCAAGCCTGAACAGGAAATGATTCGATTGCAGATATTATGACTGCAACTCTCTTTGGCAAGAGGGTTTGGTAACTGCAAGATTGCATGAACTTCAGCTGAAAATTTGATGCATCCAATGATTTACTCGAGAAGGCTGCAGGCTGATGATTGTTCTCAACAAAAAGCAACCACTACACCACCCTCTTCTAGAATGACTTGCTTCTTTTCTAACCCACAAACCTGGCAGGAAAATATGCTCATGCATATTTCCAAACTACACCAGTTTTGGCTAAGTAACTGTATCTGAACATAGCTTTCTATAATGAGTCCAAAACCCTCACAATAATTGGCTCATTCTGAATATTTTAAGTTTGTAATAAGAAGAGTAGAGGATATACAAAAATACATAAATCCACTAGAAAGGAGACTAAAAATGAGTTTAAACTATAGATATATATAGTTTATACACACAAACATATATCTCACATACAGTCCATTTTAAGGTTGCATAATATCAAAGGACAGGATATATGTTAACCAAATTATTGTGACTATAATCACTCCTCAGTGTGCAGGCTTTTTTTGTGTGTGAGTGTGAGGAAGATCGGCCCTGAGCTAACATCCATGCCAATCCTCCTCTTTTTGCTGAAGAAGACTGGCCCTGAGCTAACATCCGTGCCCATCTTCCTCCACTTTATGTGGGACACTGCCACAGCATGGCCTGACAAGCGGTGTGTCGGTGTGCACCCGGGATCCGAACCTGGGCCGTCAGCAGTGGAGCGCGTGCACTGATCCACTACGCCACGGGGCCAGCCCCTGTGCAGGCTTTAACAGAGTACATTCTTTACCTAAAATGTAAAAAATTAATGTCATAAATATTTATAATCAATCACTTACTATGTACTCTTGGTACTAGGTATAAGGTAAGAATTGAGAAGGAAAATAACCCTATGCATTTACATAATACTTTACAAAGCTACTTTCACACGTAAGATTTTATTTGACCCTATGAGTTAGGACGGCAGACGTTATATCCACTACACAACAAAAGAAACTGGTTTGCCAAGCTTAGAGCAACTTAGCCAAGTTCACCATTGGCAAGATCAAACCAAGAACTTCAGGTTCTTGATTATCAGCTCAGTGCTGGAGCACTAGCTGCCTACCACAAAAAGGCTTCCGCCCTCAAGGAATTAATCTGCCACCTAATGCCTTGGCCCATGTTTCTCTGATGTACCAAGTGTCTTTCCAGTAAGAATCTCATCAATTCCCTACATCAATTTTCCAACATCATATTCTGAATCTAATTTGAGACAATTATAGGAAAAGGTTATTTATTAATATCATTGACAATTAAAAGATGTGTGTTCCTTCTGAAGGCTAGACATTAATATGAGACCGAACAAAACTGAATTAGGACAGACTGCTCAAAATATTATCTGTCACTTTAGGATAAACACATTTTGCTTATGGGCATGATACTGCCCTCTAGTGCCAGGAAGCAGAGCAACCTTAGTAGACTAACAGCTAATGCATATTAACCACCTACCACGTATAAACACACTTTGCTAAGCACTTTGGAGGGGAAAAAAGAGAAAACGTTAAGCCTATCACACACATACAACCATGAAAACTATATAAGCCCCTCAAGAAATTTACAAATATAATGGAGAAGATAAGAAATGTAAACGAAATCACTGTAACCGAAGACAGTGTTGTAACTGCTTTAAGAGGTTACAGATAATAAATTACTGGAGTACAAAAAGGATTAGGTAAGCTTCGTGGGAACAGCAACACAGAAGCCATCTTTGAAGGACTTCAGAAACTAGAGATGAACAGCATGAGCCAAGACCTGGAAGTAGGAACTACTACAAGGTTAAGAAAATAACATGCTCCAATTTAACTGGAGCATTAAGTTTGTGAAAGGGAGAGTAGAAGGTAGCTGGAAAGACTGGATAAGATCAGACCGTGAAGGGTATGAACTGTGCTATCCAATATGGTAGCCACTTGCCACATATGCTATTTTAAATCTAATTAAAATTAAATAAACTTAAAAATTCAGTTTCTCAGTCATTCTAGCCACATTTCAAGTCTCAAGAGCCATGTACGGCTAGTGGCTACCATATTGGACAGTACAGATAGAGTACTGGGCAATGCTATACCAGATGATTGTATTAAGCTATAAACCATCAATCTTGCAACGCTGATCAATCTTTCAAGGCTTACTCCTCCCAAAAAATGCAGATCTGATCCTTGCCGAAGTCTATTAATAAAGAAAACGACAGGTCCCAATGCCATACGGGGGTAAATAAAAAAGTTTGGTCCCTATCCTTCTAGGCATTTCCAACCATCAACTAAAACAATGAGAAATGTGGCTTCCTAAAATCCTAAACAATTATCTCTAAACATGTGTCCCAGCTTTTAGAATCTTTTTCTTTTTTTATTAGGAAAAAGAAAAGAAAGAACTAAAAAAACTATGAAAGAAAAAAAAGATTATTATTAGGGATTTATCTATAATAATAAAACACAAGATTAAAAGAGTCATTACCACTGAGTTTGCTTTGAGTATTTGAAGAAAGAACTATCTTTAGCCCTCAAATACCCGCTTCAGCCCAAAAGGAGTAACATCAGACATCCTTTACACTTTTTTTCTTTTTTTAAAGATTTTATTTATTTATATTTCCCCCAAAGCCCCAGTAGATAGTTGTATGTCGTAGTTGCACATCCATTCTAGTTGCTGTATGTGGGACACGGCCTCAGCATGGCCGGAGAAGCAGTGTGTCGGTGCTCGCCCGGGATCCGAACCCGGGCCGCCAGCAGCGGAGCGCGCGCACTTAAACGCTAAGCCACGGGGCCGACCCTACACTTTCACTATGTAACGCACAATCTATTTCTTTTGTGCAGTTTATAAAATGACAATCATTTTCAAAAGGAAAACTGTGTATATATATTTATAGAAAACATAATGTGAGTCTTCTCAAGATCCAGTAGACATATTGAATTCTAAGCACAAGGTTCTAAGCACAGTATAAAACCAGAAATACATACAATCAGTTGCTTAGGGTAGTTGCCTAAAATTACCATTCTGATCCCACTTATAAGTCTGCAGTTCTCTTTCCTACAGGCTCCTGCACCTAAATCAAAGATTTTCTTAATGATCATATTGGGAACCTGAAACGCCACAATCCTCTGGATTACGAAAAGTCAACAGTAGCAGCCCAAAGCTTTGAGTCCTGAGCCATACTGTCTCTCTGCCTCTCAATCTTCCCTTTAATGTTGCCATGGTGTTTCTTTGACATTAGTCCAGAACACTTCTAAACATTCAAAGATAAATCAACTGGCTTTCAACCAGTTTTTTAAATTATTCTCTTTGCAAACTGAGCACTGATATTCACTCATCTCCTGTTCAGTGGATTCATTCATTGCTGATTCCATATGCTCAAAGCATCCCGTCAAATGTTAATAAAGTCCCAAAGAGATCTCAAGGATTCAAAAGAAATGTCTATGTCTTTAGACAAGTAGCATTTATGTAATCAATATTAGAGATTGTATACAAATTCTGATAATGGATAATAAGAGGGTTTCCAAGACAGGAATGGGAAAATGTTCTTTTCCATTCACATTTGATAGAATTTAGATAAGGCCCCATCCCCTTTGTTTTCATAACCCAGAACTCTTCAGAAAAAATCTTCCTCAAATTTAAAACTGAACTTTTCTGTAGAACTCGAATGTGTCCATCCTATTCCCAAAGAATATGTTTTTTCAGCAGTTACAGAATACAAAAGAGGGATGTTCACAAACAAAAACTTCTTTATGGGTGTTAACCTAATAAACAGTTTCCTGCTATCCTTCATACATAATGTAATTCTACAATTACTAACAAGATCAGTAAAGCCAGTCCAAATTGTTCACTCTAACAAAACTAACACACAATACAAGTAAAAAGCCTTGCAAGAGTTATCTTAATGTGATATCTTAACGTTATGAGATCTTAGAGGTTATCTATCTGCTTTCAGTATTTAACAGATAGAGAAAACTGAAGTCATCATCAATAGCTCCCTATTTACTTGTATAGTACCTATGACTGGAGTATGTTTTATTGATAAAACATTGCATTTGACCCACATAAAAGGGAAGAATCCCACCTAACTTAAGAAAAGTTTTTTCTTCCTTATTCCATAATCTAGGTTTTATATACGAGCTCTGCATGGGTGGAAGGAAAAGAATAAGAAAGTGAAACATCCTAAATACTGTCCCATCAGGTCATGAAATACACTCTGCCGTGCGATGCTCAGTTATCTATCTGTTGAGTGCTCAACAAGCTTTAATAAAAACCCTAGGAGAATAAACCACCCAAAGTCAAAGCTTGGATGGCTACAGAGAAATAGAGAGGTGACAAAAGAGAGCAGTAAGTTGAGGAGGAAACAAAACCATGCAAATCCCAAAGGGATAAATATGCCAACCTTCCCGCAAACTGTGATAAGGGGCCAGGCACACTGCTGAGCAGCTGTCCTTTCCCGGCTTCAGGACAATCCATGAGAGTGGCAGAATCCTGCAGGTGGGCTGATGAATCTTGGTCTTCTCCTCCAGCATGCTGGGGGAGATGTGAGACTCCAAAGGCCAGTGCTGCAACAAACTCGTCTTCCTTCCCTCACTCCTTAAAGAGGCCATTTATTATTTGCTCAAGATCTGATTAGCATTGCTCTTTAAGTTAAAGTGGGTACTTCATTTCTGCAGCACTAAGGGTTGCAAGAACAGCTAGATCCCAAGTTTACTTAGGGAGTGGGGCATTAAAAGCAGTGACAGCAGAAGGTCAGAATCAGTAAGTCTCCTGGAAAACATTTCTTCCTGTCAGCACTGGGCCACGACACAGACACCTCCCTCCTCTAAGCAAATGCCAAAAAGCAGGGCTGGGATGACTTCAATGTGTAGAGCTGGAAGAGAAGAGGGTTCCCTTAGAGAAAGTGCTCGTAGCAACCAACCAACCTCATTCACCCAAAATAGTAAACAGTTGGTTTCTCTGCTCAGAACCAAAAGGCTTCTGCCAGACAAGCAGTATCACATGACCAGGTTCCCTCTTCTCTCCTTTGCCTCTCTCCTTCCTTGTGGAAAGTCTGCACCAAAGGGGAACAAGAGCTATAACACTGCACTACTTTATTCCACTTGACATTTGTTTTTAAAATGTTCATAGATGAAAGATAACCAAATTGGGGGGGGGTGCGTACCAAGGGAAAAACTCAACAAGAATTTACTCTGAAACAAGTCGTATCATAGCATCAAGAAGGGCACCATAAACATAATGGTTAATTGGCAAATGGAATGAATAGACATTTTTTAGCAATTTGCAAATATTTTGTGGAAAAAATGTCTAAAAGAAGATATAGTTCAGTACATACTTGACTTTTTCATTTAGAAAGACAAAGTCTCTTAAGACGCTGGCTAGTGACAGAGACAATGTATTGCAACAATAGTGGCAGCCCACCAAAAATTTTAGATTTATACCCTTATCTAGTCAATCTCAACTTACCTCACCATTTGATTAATTATTCCTTAGATGTCAGAGTCCCATCATTCAAATCACTGGGTGGGCAATCAGGGCAGCGATACCAACAGACTGAATTGAACAACCTAGCCAGCTAATTATGGAAACAGCTGCCAGCATGACACTCACTGGCATTTTCACCTCACGGGGGTGGCGGTGGATAATAAGGCTGGCAGCACAGCTGGAGCCAGATGTGCCACCATATTCTTCTCCCCACAAAGTTCTTCAGCATTTGAAAGCTGAGCAAGGCATACAGTGTAGGGGCATGGAAACAAAATTCTCTATGCTGAGCAATTCGTTCCAGTAGGAAAATAGGTCAAGTATAAGAATCTATTGTGTCCCCATCATCTGCCACGGCCCCTACCCATAGGGCCAACCAGGGGGCTTTGAGAGTAGAGTCATTCATCCTTATCCATCTCCTTTGCATTGTAAGATGCTCAATAAATATTTATAACACAGAAAGGAAAGAAAAAGGAAAATGAAAAAGAAAAAACAGATCAGAAATCCTTAATTTAAGCAACATCTTTTTCCAAGACCATGCAGTGATAATTATTTGGCTAGAGTCAGAATACAAATACTACCAATAAATAATTTGCTGGCGAGGATGAGGAGCAATTAGAACTCCCAGACATTACCAGAGAGAAACCAAAATGATAATGTTACTTTGGAAAACAGTTTGGAAGTTTCTTATAAAGATAAACTTATACACTTACTGTACAACCCAGTACAAATTAAATTCCTGAGTATTTAAACAAAGGGAAACGAAAATATGTTCACACAAGGAGCTGTCTGTGAATATTCATAGTAGGTTTATTTTAATTGCCAAAAACTAGAAACAACCCAAATGTCCTCCAATTTGTGAACAAAGTAAAAAATTGTGGTATATCCATACAACAGAAAACAACTCAGCAATAAACAAAAAAAACATAAACTACTGCTACTGGCAACAACACGTACGAACCTCAAAAGCATTATGCCAAGTGAAAGAAGACAAACGCAAAAGGCTACATACTGAACGACAGTGTTTATATGAAATAATAAGAAATAAAATCAGTGGTAGCCAGGAGTTGGGAATGGGGAAGGAGAATGTCTACAAAGAGACACGATGGAACTTTCTGATGGAAATAGTCTATATATCTTTATTGTGGTGGTGGTTTACCTTTTATGAAAACTCACTGAACTGTACCCCTAAAAAGGGTGGCCATTACTGTATATAAATTGATCTCAACTTTTTAAAAAAGCAGATTACAAAATATTACCCATAGAGGCAGAACCTAATAGCAGTTGAGAATATAGGCTCTCGAGCTAGATTGCCTGGGTTTAAATCTTGGCTCTACCTCTTACTAGCAGTGTGACCTTGAGATACCTAACATCTCTATGCCTCCATCTCCTCATCTGTAAAGTGGGGATAATAGTATTTACCTCATAGTGTTGCTGTAATAAATGAATTAATATATGTAAAGCACTTAGAGCAGTGCCTAGTCTATAAGCATTCAGTAAATGCAAACTGTTGTCATCACACAATTACGTAACACATACCTGAACATGTCTCTATGCACAGAACAGAATGGGAGGATGGTCACTATCTGGGTGGTGAGAATAGGATGATTTTATTTTCTCTCTTTCTCCCTTCTGTTTATTGTATCTTCTAAATTTTCTACATTAAACAACTATTGCCTTTATAATAAGCAAAAAAAAATTTTTCTCAAAAAACAACAAAAGAAAGGACACTGGGCTAGGACTCAAGAGTCCTGTTTTTCAACTGTGCCGCTAATTACTTAGTTGTATGACCACAGGGCATCACCTTCATCTCCAAAAAGGAGGGGCTGGAGCAGACAGAGTGTCCTTCATCTCTAAAATGGAATGGTTCTCTAAGACTTATGGTGGGACTAGATAAGCTACACCCTTTATTTTGTTTCATTTTTCTTCCCATATTTACTGTCTGCCTACCACGTGCCAGGCACTGTGATACAGAGAGATGAAACACCCAAGTCCCTGCCCTCCTGGAGCTTACAGTACGGGCTATTCACAGAAACAGAGATGACTCACACCCAATTATACAATCCGTCAGCATGATAAGCGCTCTGATGGAAACACAAAGAGGGGACCTAGCTGGGTTTGGAGGAGTCAGAGAAGACACCTGAGCCGAGTCCTGAATAGTTAAAAAAAAAAAAAAAAGTCAAACCAAAAAGATGGGGAAGGGAATTCCAACAAAAAGGAGAGGAATGTACAAAAGCAAAAGGTGTGAAAATAACAATTTCTTAGGTAATGGAGGATAGAGAGAAAGAGAAAGAGAGAAAGGGCATTTTGACAGCAGTGTGGAAACCAAGAGGGTCAAGACCATCAGCGGGGAGACTGGCTAGAAAGAGGGAAATGAGCATTCAGACTGTTGATAATTTCCAGGAATCACATGGGACTGTTGATCTTTTATTCTTATTCAAATGTCTACATATGCCACGAATAAACCTGATAAATATTAGTCTATGATGTACTTTACTATATTTACAAATATAGCATATACTTACAAAAATTTTACAAACAAAAGTGCCATTTCACTTCCACTTTCCATGGTTAATTGTACACAATTGTTCACTCAGTAAATATTTATTGAGTGTGTGTTATGCATATGCGAGGTGCTGGGGGAGAAGGGAGACACAGTAAACAAATGAACAACCAAAGCAAGCAAGAGAAGCAGATTGCTTTTTCTTTTACCCAAGACCTACTAAGATCTTCTACCCCTCAGAAGCAGGAGAGAAGCAATGTGATATAGTGTGGCTGAGAACTTTGCACTTGGAACCAGACAGACCTTTGTTCAAATTCTTGCTCTTATCGCCAGTCTAGCTTTGGGTAAATGACTTAACCTCTCTGAGCTTTCATCTCATCTGAAAATGGGAATAACGTCATTAAATTCATATGGTTTTAGGGTGAATTTAATGAGACAATCAATCAATAATCAGTATGTCAGTTATACAGAAAATGTTCAGCAAATGGTCCATTTTGTTTTATTATAGTTTAATTTTAATTTTACACCTTTAGGACAGCCCATGATCTCCCACTATACAGACAAAAATACTCACCAGGATAGAAAATAGGGGCAGCAAGGTATAAAAAAAGATCTGTTTAACATTACTAAATTCACATTTTGGTGACTTCACAATTGTTTTCTTATAAAGATGTCATGCTTGGAACTAACATTCCTTTAGGATTTCTCAAACTGTTAGTATCTGCCTACATTACATGACCTAGTAAATTAAATAAAAACCATCACCCAAAATAGGAAGCCAGTCACAATCTCTCCTGGGATTCCTCGTTCTGACTCTAACACTGAGTCATTTAAACAGCAGAGACAACGCAGAGTACTGATAAGTAGTCTGAACACAAACGTGGACAGATTTGCCAGAGCACATCGTAGATCCACCGTTTACTGCAAGCAGAACTTTTTGAAACATAAAAACCAGGATGGAAGGAGAGTTTTCTAACTGGCTGTGCCTTTGAGTAATCACGTCTTCCAAGAGAAAAGAGGCACAGCAATTAATGTTTCTCAAGCAAAAAAAAAAAAAAAAAGAAAGGCTGCTGCCTCCCTATAATCACATACTCAAAAATGTTTTAACCATCTTTTTCAAGCATTTATGACTTTGAAAACATTAGTGGTCATTTAAAGATTTTGAAGGCAGAACATATAACATAAATAGAAAACGTCTTCTCTGTGACCCCAGACCTTAAGGGCCAAACTGATTTTACTGAAACTTTTCCCTATATATTTCCCTTTGCAATGAAACCAGGCAGTGAAACTTCAGCCCGAAAAGAAGAATTTAAGAAGCAGAGGAGAACCTGGACAAGATTTTCAAGCACAGTCTATGATTTTTTATACTGAAGTAAAAGTCTGTACCTATAAAGAAAAAGAATACCATACTTTCACATCTCTTTCTCTTATTAGTGGTCTACAATCTCCTCTATAAAGACTGTCCTCTGTAGATAATTATCATGCTTCCAGGAAACCCCAGGGTCTTTTTCTCTACCTATACGCCAGAGGACACCTTTCTGCTACTCTCCTCCATCTCCCTCCTGTCATCAATGCACAGGGAAGCCAGCAGCTAGTCCGGATTCTGAACGACCTGAGCATCCCTGCTATGCTCCATTCTGCTTAAAGGTCTCCAGGTTGTACTGTGTATCAGCAAGAAGAGTCTAAAGAGACCACAAAGACAGATTCTTCCCTTTAGGTGCAGAAGAGCTGAGCTAATGAGGCTAG